CCGTCCTCTCCCAGCAGGGGCCGCCACCGCTCCCAGCGGCCGGCTCCGGTCTCCCTTACCCGGGGCGTTCATGGCAGGATCGGCGGCGGCGGGTTCCGGGCAGAAGCGGGCCGGCCGCGGGGACTGAAGGGGCTCTTATAGCCCCGGCACCGGAAGTAGGAAGTGCAGCCAAAGCCGGCGAGGGGGCGGGAGGACGGCGCGAGGAGAGGGACATTCCAGCCGCTGGCGTTGCGCAGGCTCCCGAAGCGGGCGGGGCCCCCGCGAGGCTCCTCCCCTGTGCCAGCCCTGGCTTGCTCTTAAAGGGGCCGCGCCCAGCACCACCCGACCCGCAGCTCAGTTTGTACGGGGGGGCTGAAAACCAAACTGTAAACCCTGTATGTGATGGAAACCACTCGGAGCCGGGGTATAGCAGCACCCCTAATTCCAGCCCCCACGCCTGCTGCAGCCTCCCCCCACCCTGCCAAGAGACCCCTGGGCAGGCAGCAGCACCCGGCCGCAAAGCCACCGATCAGCAATTCCCAGTGCAGCCTCAAACCACCCACCCGCCTGGGTTGGGGTGCCAGGCACGTAGCTAGGCCCTTTTAGGGTTGCTCCTAGGCCCTGCACCAGGGACTGCCCCTATTTCTCCATCACTGGATAACAAGATCTAGAGTTACTGAGTGCTGGGAAAAGCACCGAGAAACACCCCTATGCACTGCCCAGCATTAGCAATAACGACCATAATGAATATCAGGAAGTTGGGTGGGGCGGGAGTGCTAAGAAAAGTCCCTTGTTTTTTTAAATACAGTGTTGGCACCCCTACTTTCCAGGACAACCAGGGCACGCGCCTGGACAGAAATGGGGCAAGCTTGTCCAACCAGGCCAACAACACGGCACTTGACAGACCGCTCTTCTTCCAAGCATTCATTGCTATGATTTCATTTCAACACTTTTGAACAAATTCCCAGAGTTTTAAACAGAACATCAAAGTACCTCACATAGATTATTTAAAAAAACAACAGTTCCTTATAATCTGATGTCTCAGACTACTGCCCTACCACCACATTTTCCAACGCAGGTCACTCTCTGATAACCTTCCTCTTTTGTAGCTCAGTGAGCCACTTTTATAGGGCTCGTTGATGTCAACCTTTAGCTCCTGATTGCTCTCAGCAGGAGGAGCACTGCCTCAACTCTTTTCACCTGTACAGGTAAAGGGTATCAGAGACTTAATCTGGATGTTAACTCGCTGACTTCTGGATCCGGAGATGGGTCTCTGCACCTGTCACAGTGCTGATGATTTGGGTGTGTAGTTACACAAGTGAAATAACATTTGACAGGGAAGATAATGTGTGGATTGCAAAAATTATGAACTTGTATCTCTTGGGGGTATATTTATGCTTCCCCATCTCTTGTTTAATTGTTTTCCCGAGTTTTCTTTTTCAAGTGTTCAAGGGGAAATCTGCCCATGATTACCCATTTATGTCAGTAGATGAGGTTCTTTATTCACAAGCAAAGTATTTCACTAGATTGTGCAGTTTGGTTGTTGTGTCAGGAACTTGCTGTTGCTAAATTTCCTTTTCATTTCCCAACATCTGATTTCAATATTTCTGTTTTGAGTTAATGACAGGTGCAGGAAAAGGCAAACCCTGTCCCCAGCAAACAGCCTGCGTAACCAGTCTGACTGGTGGTGATAGGTATGAAGAAATCTTTCCCCATGCAATGGGGTGACAACAGAGCACCTGCACAACCAAAACTACAGCCTCAGTACCAAGGTAGGCCCTGTGGCTGCTGCACTTGTATTTCAAGAGGAGACTAGACCGTCACTCTGTTTTTTCACAGATCTGTTGGTCCGGTCTCACCCCCAAAATTCCCCTGTATGCTGGAGCACAGTAAGGCCTTACAGAGCATATCCCAGTGGTGCATAGGGAGGATGGAACCCTTTCACTTGGCCCAGAAACCTACTCTCGTTCCCTGAACAGAATCACAAGGGTTCCCTTTCTAGCTGATGGCTTTGGAATTAGGTCTGGATTTTCAGGGACAGTGAGCGTCCACAACCCCCACTGAGATCAGTGGGAGCTGCAGGCTCTGAGCATCTCTGCAATTCAGATGCAAATAAACTAATTATAAACTCATAGCATTATACAGCACTTTTCAATCTTGTAGTGAAAAATAGCTAGTCAGGCTTAGTAAAGGGGATTACTCATTGCATAGAAAGCAATTTAAATTATTGTGTGTAATAAAGAGAATTTGTTTGTACTAAAGTTATTATGCTACAATGTTCCCTGAAAGCTAGTTAATGTTAAATTGGCAGGGATAGTGTCCCTCAAGGACAGACTCGAGTTTACAATGGTTGAGAAACTCCTTCCTGTTGAGTAATAGTATCTTTCCACTTTCTGAGAAGGATATTTGCCCATCAGAAACTGGAATTTATTTATAGAACATGGGGTATGTGTACCGAGTCAAATTGTGATGACTCTTTAAAAGTTTGCTGGACTCCTGTGAAAAATTGTCTGCTGGTATATCTCATGGTCAGTGGGGAAAGGGGAGATGACCCCTCAATTTTACTACTGGAGAACTGATTCTAAAACGATTGTTTATTTTAACATAGTGTTTGTAAAAGGTATTCGAGCGACCGCCCCAGGCCCTGAAATCCATTGTTCCAAATGAGGGGGTACAGTGGAGGCAGCAGCAGTGCTGGCTTCATCTACTGTACTACCTGGGTGCCTCGACGCTGGCTGGAAGGGGCCACCTCTAGGGGTGAGTCCCTGCGGGCGCTTCAGGCCTTTGCCTTTCTGAGGGGACTAGCAGCAAAGGAGAAAAGGAGTGAGTGCCCATTGTGCTGATGACCATGTCCTGGGAATCGGACTGAGACCCATTAAACGACATTTGGTCACAGTGGGCCATGGAGGGAGCTAAACCAGCATACGAGAGATTTTCTTTCTTACTACCTAACCACTGAGCTGTTCAGCCCCCAAGCCTTCCCTTTCTTAAGAAATTATCCGCTACTGGTATTTGTGCCCTTGACATCAAGCTCTTCGGGTTGTGACGACATAATCATTTCCATGGCAACTCATTGTGACTTCCACTGGGGCCTAATCAACAGGAACAGACTCCTAAGAAATAATTATCCTGATTACATGCAAACATCCTTTAGGAATAAAAATGGAGGCAGACCAAAAGGAAGCAATGTAGTCATCCTCTCCCCCTGCCCCTCCCCAGAAGGAATGTGTTCAAAGCAGTAGGTTATAATCAACATACATAAAGAACCATTTACATTTTGAAAGGATCATTGTGTAAAATAACAATAAATATAGAAGGAACTATATGAACTAGAGTAACTATTGCAATGCATAATGGCTAATCCCATCCCTTAACACAAGGGCATATGTCCTGCTACAGATGGTGCTTCTTAGGCGCACACAGTAACCTCAGGATTTCTTCACCTGGAGTAAAATTAAAAGGATAGATGTAAATCACCGTCTGATGTAAGGCAAAGTGGGCTGAATTCACCCTGAGCTATGCCAAAGTGCATGTCCAAAATATTGTAGCAGGGAAGCAAACTACAAAGGACAACTTTGGTGCTCACTTCCCCTTCAACCTCCCAGAGTTCACCCTCTATAATCATCCATGGCCAGAGCCACAAACTAGATTGGGGGTGTGATCTGCAGGGAGTAGTACTTGACTCTCCGTGCTGCTCCCCCCACTGGGTTGTAATACCCCCGGTACAAGTAATCTACGAAGGGGAAGTGCAGGCAGCTGGCCAGAATAATACTTTTGCAGCATTATTTTGCATCTGCTTTGACAGCAAAGAGGACCTAGACTTGGTCATTTTTAGTTTGTCTTAGTATCATCTTGTTTCATGTGGGCTGCCAAGGCTTAAAGAAAAAAAATATGGATCCTGGGTACCTATTGCATTCTGCCTATGTTACAGAACAGCTAATGAAATGTTCTGTACCACAAGCTAATTAACCCACATCCATGGTGTTTACTAATATTAGCTGCATTAATAATAATAATAATAATTAATAATAATGTTTTATATTACTGTAGCACCTTTCATCTAAAGATTTCAAAGTACTATACAAACATTAATAGAATAAGCCTCACAGCACTGCTGTTAGGTAAGGAAGTAAGATTGTTTCCACTTCATATTCTATTATAGAGACAGAAACAGATGAAAAATTAGTGACTTTCTCAGTCACTCAGCAAGTCAGTGTCAGAGCCATGCTGCCTGCCCTCAGTTTTTATACTATGTAGTCTTCCTCTTAGCAGCACCTTTAAGTGCACTGATTGAAACTGGCAAAGGATAAGAAAGGGTCCCTTAAGCATCTGATAATGTACAGCACAAAGCATCACTAAGTCCTCCCATGCGCTTCTGTATTTGCAACACTGCCTCCCACTTATTCGTGTTAAGAGAATAAAACACCCTAAACTGGAACTCAGCAGGAGGGGCTTTCATTATAAAATCCATTTACGATAGACTGCCTATATAAAAATCAGATACTTACAGAGCTGTTTCACTTGGTGTTTCTTTTGTCTTTTTGAAGCACTAAAAATAAACACAAGCAACACAATCTTGTCATTATTGTATTTCTGAATGAAAGACTTTCACTAAATATATTCATAACTTACATTAGTACCGATCCTTTCATCCCACCTGGCCCCAAATGGAATATACAGGAATCACTTCACCTCCCACTGATATGCAGCCACCTCGGGGGGTGGGTTATAACAGTTCTCAAAACAGTATACAGCAACACTACACAACAGTATCGGACAGAAAACTGCAGGGCAATTGCATTAATAGTAATACAGGACACAACATATTTCAAAGTGCTGTGCAGATGTTAACTGAGTCATTTAGGGAGACGCACCATGATTGCCCAAACTGGAAAGCAGACAGGACAACACCTGTACTTTTGTGAAAAATGCCAGGGGTGGAAAGGATTCCAGCTTGATATCAGAAAGATGGTACGTCTGCCACCCGGCCAGGGTGCATGAGATCAGTACAGGCCGGGCCGGATTTCCAATTAGGCACAGTAGGCATGTGCCTAGGGGCGCTGGTGTTCTAGGGCCTAAAAGTTAAAAGTGGGTTAAAAGTTTCATTTTGTACAGAAAACACGAGGTCAGCTGTAGGCAGGGGGAGCACTGAAGATGCTGTGCCTAGGGGCATGTAAGGGGTAATCCGGCCTGAGAGAAGAGTGCCATCTCCTGAATATCCAACAGACTGTTTTACTTCAGAGGCTCCCGTCTAGTAAGCCAGCCTGGCCTTGCCATAGCGTGCAAGCTTTAACAGGACCACAGCACAAGCCTAGGCTGTAGTTCATGTAGGCTATCCATGATACACAGGAAGTAGGGTGACCATTCAGAGTTTGTCATTTCTGTATATGGCAAATTTCAATATCTTCTCTCACAACAACACACACCTATGCACTCCCCCACATTAAAGAGAATCATGTGTCTGAGTGTACAAACCCCCATTATATGAACTGTATATGAAACCTTTCCGGATTAATTTCTAAGTCCAAGAAGCAACAGAAGTATTGTGTTAAGCCTCTCCTCCCCTCACTCAAAAAATAAGGCTGAGATTAAACAGAGCTTTTTCTTAACAGTAGCTGTGCCGAGCTCATTATGATGTTTTCTGATTCATTGATGTTTTTGTTACCTTAAATATTTTTTCTCTTCGAGCCACAATTCCAAAAATTACAGTGAGTAAAACCACCACGATGGCAGCAATAATGGCCTCCAAGGGAAAAACCGGTTTTCTATCTGTTGGAAGGGGAAAAAAACACCCACTTGGATACTGAACAGATTGATACACCTCTATAAAGCAAGTCATTTTAGAGACGTCCAAAAAAGAGCAAGTGGTTTCATCCTGTCCCTGTCTACACAGTGACCTGAACTGTGCTAAAACCTGAGGTCAAAAACTGTTGTAATGCATGGGATATTCATTCTAACATTCAAAAAGAAAGAAGCAAACAACAAACAGCCAGACATTTTTACTGACTAATTGGAAATATTAATTGGTGGCCACTCCAGCAGGTTCTCCGGCTAGGTCAGGGGTGGCCAACCTGAGCCTGAGAAGGAGCCAGAATTTACCAATGTATATTGCCAAAGAGCCACAGTAATACGTCAGCAGCCCCTCATCAGCTCCCCCCCTGGCTCCTAGCACCTCCCACCCACCGGCAGCCCCACCAATCAATGCCTCCCCCGTCCCCGCACCTCCCAATCAGCTGTTTCTGGGTTTGCAGGAGGCTCGGAGGGGGAAGGGGAGGAGTGAAGGCACGGCAGGCTCAGGGGAGGGGGTGGGAAGGGGTGAAGTGGGGGCAGGGCCTGTGGCAGAGCCAGGGGTTGAGCAGTGAGCACCCCCCGGCACATTGGAAAGTTGGCGCCTGTAGCTCCAGCCCTGGAGTCGGTGCCTGTACAAGGAGCCGCATATTAACGTCTGAAGAGCTGCATGTGGCTCCGGAGCCACAGGTTGGCCACCCCTGGGCTAGGCCATCAGGCCATGGACACAGAGTAAGGATAAACAACTGTGCAGTAGTGTTTCCTGACACCGCCAGTACAGCTGGTTTTATGATGGTTCTAGAGATAGAAGAGAACGGCTTGTGGGCAGCCCTGCAGCCAGCAAACCATTTATTTATTAGAATGAGGGGTGGGAAACTGCAGCCCTAAAATAGCTGTAGATTATTATGAAAACATATGCACCAGATCCCTACTGGGGCACCTTTGTATTCTGTAAATTGATACAATTCAAATGTATCCTCTTATTTTTGTGTCAACAACCCAATTAAGGGACCGGAGAAAGTTACTGATTTCTTTCTAAACAGGGCATAGCCTCTTGCTTTTGAAACAAACGTCTCAACAGCTATTAAGCAGAGGATCTTCACATTGTTTTACATCTTTAAAAAAAACAAACAAAAAAAAACAACTAGGCTTCTTGGGAGAGGCCAGTAGTCCGAGCAGAAGCCAGAGTTAGTACTCCTGGATTTAGTTCTCAATTCTGGTTTTGTCTTTGCCGCTGCCTTGTGCTGTGATTTTGGGCAAGACCTTGCGCCCCGTTCTACCTCATTTTTCCCCATCTGTAAAATGGGAATAAGAATATCCTCCTTCAAAGGTGAGCTGTGTGGCTTAATTAACATTTATCAAGCCGCCTGAGATCCTCGATTGCATCATGCTATCTATGCACAAATTATAATTATTATACTTCATTCAGTTTTTCAGCCAATCAGCACGTGAGCTTCGTGTCAGCCTATTTCTAGCTGTTGCTCAACCTGGCCCTGGCCCCAACCTGCTATTCAAAGCATACACGTGTCATTGCCCTACTTCAAATAAAACGTCTTGTTTACAACCACCCCTGCTCTAATTTCTACTGAATTCCATCGAGGGAAAAAAACAAGTTATTATATATTGTTTGCATTACAGTCGTGCCAGAATTCTCCACTCGTCATCGGGATCGGGCTAATTGTGCTGGGCACTGGGCAAACACGAGAGAAGAGACAGTGCCTGCCCCAAAGTGCTTATAATCTAGTGCCCTGATGCTGCGAATGGCTCCATGCTCCTGTGACTGTACAGAGCCTCGCCGACTTAAACGGGGCTCTCCACTGGCCCCAGGATTTGCCAGTATAGACTGCACTGCTGTACTGGGGCCTGTATAAAGTATAACATTTTGCTCACGGCAACTAATTGCTGGGATTCAAGTTGGCTAATGGGCATGAATGTAAAGAAGGGACTGGAATGCTTTGAAAGTTCTAATGCACACATCTGGCTTCAGGAGATCAGGTGGTGAGATGAAGCCCCTTCAGATTACACTCTCCAAATACTTTTAAATAACTGGTGGAACAGGAAAAGCATTTAATGCTGCTGTAGCCTTATAATTATTAACCAGTCAGGTACATAAGGCAAGCTATTGTTGCTATGCACTTAGCTGAATACTCATTAGTGTTACCTTCAACTGTCAGGTGGAACTCCTTTCTCATCTCTCCCAGAACAGATTTAGCCTCACAGGTGTATGTTCCATTGTCAGATTTTTCTACTTTCTGGATAGTCAGCTGGAAGACCTCACTAGTATGGTATATCTGATAGCGATCTTTCTTCAGGGTCAGGGTGCTGTTGTCTTTATACCAAACCATTTCAGCTTGAGGGTTGGAATTCACATTGCAAGTCAGCTTCACATCATTCTTTTCTTCTACTGGAGGAGGGTCTTCCCCAGTTAGGAGAGGGGGAACTGTTCACAACAACCAGTTATTTTAATTACAAAGTTACCAGAAACACAAACACCTACTTACTATTTAAGGGAAAAGGAGTTCCCTTTCAACATTTCGGATGCAGGCACAAATAACAATGATAACATATAGCAATTCTGTAACCCTTCACAGCACTACTTGAACAAACTGGGCAGTCATCATTAGGAACAGTCATTTCCAGACATAATTTTAAAAGGGAGTCCCGACTACTTTTCAAAACACCGATATCAAACAGTTCTGCTGCTACAGCTTTTAGCAGTCTTTCCTAAGAGCTGTACTGGTGTTAAATTTCATTCTGTCGTAAGATCAGATATTACAGTCAGAAATCTAAACTGGATGCATTGTAAGATCAGAATGTAGCTTATTTAATAGCTGTCCCATGCACTGCTAAGCACTGCTGGAACTTGATACATTCAGAGCCACCAAGGAGAGGGGCGAGATTGATCACATGACATCTTCCATCTGGAGGCACAGTTGGCCACCTTTATGTCATCAAAGCTTCAGGCATCACCGTTCAGCTTTCACTGAATAAAAGCTTGGTTTTTACAGCGTAATAACTAATGCATATTAACCATCATGCTGCAAAATCCTAGTGGAGTCAAGGGGCAGATGGTTTTTGCCATGATGTACCTAGGCGCCATCAATCCTACATCTCCCACCCATGGCTGCGCTCACCTAGCTAAAGTGCCGTGTGTCTCCTAGGGTTTGACAGTGGGATGGCTAACACACCTCAGTTATCCCACTGGAAACACACACACCCTTTTTTTTATTTATTTATTTATTTTTTGCAGTGAAGACATAGCCACAGGCATTCATTCCTCCTGGTTCAGGCATAGGCCACTCACCAGCCGGTGTCTGGAGCTTAGGTGCATCAGGAGGATTTGATATATTCCTCTAGCATCCCGCAGTGGCCACTGCAGCAGAGAGGATACCAGAGGAGACGGGTCTTTTTTGTGCTCTGATTCTTTTGTTCCCCTCTCTTTTCAAGCGGGAGTCTAGGTGGAGGAGGCAACAATAGCTAGTAAATCTACTTCTTAATCAAGGGCCTCATCCAGCTCCCACTGAAGAAAACTGAAAGACCCCGCATTGATTTAAATGAAAGTCGGATCTGGCTTGAAGGTTTTGTTTACACTAGGAAAAAGGTGTATTTTGAACACATTAGCGAACACCCTAACATCAGCTAACACTTTTTCCTAGGGAAGACAAGGCACAAGAATATAGAACAGTTGGGCCTGGACTTCAACTAGTGAGCAGCCCACGGGTGTGCTAAACCCACTGATCTCACACGCCCACAGCTATTTTGCATAATCAGCCCTCCCATTAACTCACACTGGACGTCCAGAGTCACCGAGATCTGAATGGACTCGTTCCGCACCAGCTTGCAGGTAAAGCTGACTCCATTGTCGGTCTTAGAGACTGGAAGTATGCAGATGTTAGTGGTATTCATTTTATTTCCATCTTTCAAGTTCACAGTCCCGTCTCCTCGGTACCAGCGTAATTCCTCCGCCCTGCTGTTGTTACGTACACTGCACCACAGGGACTCATCACGGCCGGGCTTTGTGGATAGTATTTGGTTATCAGAACTATTGTTTATAGCCAGCTCCACACCTGGGAAGGGAAATGGACATGGTGGGTTTCACAATCTGTACCTTTTGCACAGGCCAGGACAATATTCATAATTACCAGGCCGCTCTTACAATGCCCAGGCCCCAGAGAACAGGTTAAGAATGGAGTTGTCAGACTTAAATCTAATAACTTCATTTTCTAAAGCAGCTTCTAAAACTGCAGCCACAATTGTTCAGGCACAACTTTTGTTTTATTTATTTAGATTTACAAAACCAGATAAAAAGGTGCCTATCCTAAGCTGTAAGCGTTCGAAACGCACAAGCAAACACAGAGCCCTGACACTGGAATCTCGGCCGTGAAGAAAAAACCCACCAGCCACCACATATATACAGGCAAGTCTCATCTTACGCGCATTTAACATGCGCAAATTCAGTTTTGCGCCGTCGGCAAAAACAAAAAAAAGAGAGAAAAATAACAATTTAAATACTGTACCTGTAGTGCGGGCGATTCCGCCCGCCATTACACTCAATGTAATTTTGACTATACGTGATTTTCGCTTTACGCGCTGACAGCGGAACGTAACCCCAGCGTAAGATGAGACTCGCCTGTAGCAGTAATGTATTAGCCTCTCCAGCAAAAGGTCACAATAAAGACAAATACTCCACCCTCCTGAAATACTGCGTGTGCTCAGTTTTCACAGCCACGCTTTTATGTACTCAATTTTTCATGCTCATGTTTTTATGTGCTAATTTTTTTGATTGTCTCAAGTTGCATTTGTGAGTATAACTGGGTAGTTAGATCACCAGCTACGTCTGCATTGGCTTCCGTAGAGTTTTGCTGTTCAAGGACTGCAGAGTCAGATTCTAAGTTTGGAGCCTTAGGACATTTTCACTGGGAAAAATAATCCCTATGAGAAATAAGTTGTCATTTATCTCCAAAGCTCAAGACTCTAGTCCCCATTATGTCTTAATTAACTGAAAAAGTCAGTTGAAAATGCAAAGGCAAGCACTCTCGGGGCACAAAAAATAACCGGAAACCATTATTCTCTTGTTTGGTACTCCTAGATAGTTAAAGCATTCAGACTTTTTGTTTTTCATGTATTGTTCAAAGAATGTAGTCCTCTGATTTTTTGTACCCGTGGAGTTCGCCAGTCTCATTCAGTGTGAATGAAACTTTTTAAAATGGTGAAGCCTCTTCATTCTCTCTGGTTGCTCACGATGCCATATTGAGCAGATCAGTTCTTTCTATGCGTAGCCTATTTAGGAACGATTACTACAATCTAGGAAATGTCGGGCGGGATCGAGCTGTAGCACATCGCCTTGGACACCACCCAGTGACAGGTGTCAAGCAGAGCATCAGGAGATATTAAGAAGCTCAGACAAATACGCTGCAGCTTTTCTTCGCTGCTTACCTGTGACTAGACACGGCAAAAGTAAAACTGCAAGGACAGGTACTCCATAAGGGGCAGGTAGGCGGCTTTTCTGGGCCATCTCTGATCTATTCAGGTGGGATCTGTTGGATAGAGAGTCATGGTTCTATGAATACTGCCAGCATGGGATAATTATACATTGCTATCACACATTCCGAGTAAAACCCTCCCAGAAAGGCCCTTCACAGCTGATGGGCAGGTGGGGCCCTGAGGAGTATGTTGTATTAGTTTCTTGTTGGTTGTACTCCACGTTAAAATAGAAGGGCGATTTGCACTTTAAATCGTTAGCCCCTTCCTCGGAAATTATTTTTTTCCTAGCAATGGGAAGTTACTGCTGCGGCAGAGGGCCTTTCTCTTGGGGTAGCTAACCCTGCTGCTTACCTTGGGGAGAGTCTGTGAAGAGGCTTCTCCTGTTCAGAAATGCACAGCACTTTCCTCATCTCGTTTATAAGGGCTGAACTGTAATGTTTTTATTGTAGTTCAGTGTCAAGTGAGACAGATAAACTGGGTTCAAGGCCTTGTTCCTTTACTGAATTTCTGAGTACACAGAACACCGGTCAGAAACTAAAGATTCTTCCTGCACTGCTCACTGTTTTATGGGACTAGCTGAGGCAATGAGTAACTAACAGGAAAGTTACTGGGTCAGCCATTGCTGATTTCAACCAAAAATAAGGCATGTTTCCTTCTCAGCTGGGGCCTGGGCCGGCATTCATTCAAGCCAGTGGGAGCTTTGTTTCAGACCTCAAGAGCCAGGACAGGAGCCCATCCCATTCTCTCCCTCGCAGTCCCTGGGACTGCATGCAGGAGTGAGGTGACTGGGAACTGGCTCAAACTCTGAAACGTATGTTTGGAGATTGGAGACCGGGGTCACTGCAGTGACATAGGAACTACAAATGAGTCCCCTCCGCCCCCATAAGACTCCTCCAAGCTGGAAACACCTATTTTTCAGTTAGCTCAGCCACTGGGGCCAGCCCTGATGTTACAGTGGATACAACTGCATTGAATTCGCTGGAGTTCCGGCTGCTTACAAGTCTGGATTTGTCTCCATGTGTTTCGAAGCGTCACTTTGGGGGTGCTGCTGAAGCCCGTGGTGCTAAGGGAAGATGGTGTTTTGAATATTCTCAGCATACCTTAGCAGGACAAAGATGATAACTATAAACCACAAGGTCCTCACCAATCCTGACCCCGAAAGGAATATCCCACGGACGTCGATGGGCCTTTGGGTGCTCAGCACCTCTCTGGATCAGGCTCATCATAAACCTGGGGTCAGAAACTGTCTACAGTGGGCCATAAAGTGCATTTCATAGTCAGGAAAGGGACCCTGGACAAGGTGGACTATGTTTGACCCACTCAGCAGAGAGCACCAGTGGGTTTGGCGAGCTGCTGTATGGTTTTGCAACTGACAGGACACTAGAGGGTGCCAGTGCACAAAATACTATGTATTAGTAGCTCTGTACATTTGTTCGGCTGTTGAAAAAATCCACACACAACAAGAAGCCATTTTCAGGAAAAAAAAATTATTTGATACCTACCCAAGGTGCTTTGGAGAGAGGAATCAGAGTGGGGCTTGTCTCTGACATCTCCTCCTGGATGTCTAGCTGCCATCCCTAGCTCAGCATGGCTAAAACAGAGCACGGGCGCCATTTAGGTAGGGCAGAGGGGGCCTGCAGCCCCCCTGAGTTTTGTACCCCCACACTGCTTACTCTCCCCACCCCCCCAGCCAGGAGTAATGTGGCTCACTCACTCCCCCACCCCGCTGGCTATTCTTTGCTCAGCCAATAGGAATGCAGAGGTGTATCAGGAAGAGCCAATAGCAGGGCTGGGAGCTTCTGCAGCACCTTTTTCAAATTAATTTTCCTGAAACAAACAGGCTCAGGGGAAAAAAACTCTGGGCTTAGGTCAGAAGATGCTTGCTGCAGTTTTCATCCTGATCTGCCCCTCCCCTTCCCATGGTGACATGTTACAAGGGCAGGAGCAGCCCCTTGGGACCCCAGTAGACACAGAGATGCTTGGGGGGGAGGAAGGGGAGCAGGGGCTGCTGCCCCAGGCACATTCAGGGGATAATTACCCCCAGACAGCAAGAGCCCTGCTGAAGAATGACCACCTGGGATCTTTCCCTGCTGTCAAGAAACAAACGTGCTGTCACACCACAAAGATTGTTTAAATTACACTTCAAACTTCCTATTTGTTCCCAACTCTTTAATTTTGCAATGAATGGCAGTGCCCCAGTGTGGCCATTTATTCTGCCATTTAGTCCCACGTGTCTGCGGGAGTCTTTCCTTTGCCTACACTGGGCTTTGGGTCAGGTCCATAGTCTGTGACACAGCAACATCGATCCCTCTGTGAATGCTGGGATTTCACCAAATCTCCCCAGAGTGGGGGTGCACTTTTCTGGGACCTTTTTCCCAGATACCTTTTGAGGAGCTGCTGCCCCTGGACTGCTCCCCTCAATTAGCCATTTTGCAGCTTTCTGCTGTATCTCCTGTTGTACCTACTCTGTAACATTTCTGAGGGTGGCAGAGTCTCACAGATCAGTGAGTTTCATGGAGATGATGTTTACTCTATCAAATCCTTACAGCAGCACACCAGAAACCTCCTTCCAACTTAATCCTTTGTATTTATCATAACTACTTGTAGAAACTCTTCAGTGAACATAAACCTAAGCCAATCTGAACAAGTTGTAAGATTTGGCTGCCAACATTTCTTTGTTATAGATCTATGCTGCTAACATCCATCATTTAATTAAACTCTAGATAGTGATTCTTTTTAAAGGTATAGACCCCAGTGTTAATAAATTTTTTTTTTAAATAAATAGATTGGGCTATTTTAGGGCTAGTTTTTAAGTGACTGTGGACTACTGATGCAGTAGAAAATAGCCCCGGGAATCATGGTTAAAGTTGCCTCCTGCTACCAAAATCTGAAATGACACCCTTGAAACAGAGCCTTTAAACTTTCCCCCAAGCCCTCCCCACGCCCTCCCTCCTTGATCACTGTGGACAACACCACCTCAGTCACTCAGGCCCGTAACCTGGGTGTCATCTTTCACTCGGCCCTCTCTCTTGGCCCTCACACCCAGGCTCTCAGATTCGTTCTAGATAATCTCTCTACGATACGGCCTTTCCTGTCCATCCACACAGCTAAAACTCTTGTCCGGGCTCTCATCAGGTCATGTCTTGATTATTGCAACATCCTTTTCTCTGGCCTTGACAAATTAAACCTTGCTCCCACTAATATCCATTTAAAATGCTGCTGCAAAGATCATTGCTTTGACCATGTGACTCCTCTCTTTGCATCCCTCCACTGGTTCTGCCTTTCCTACAGCATCAAACATACGCTACTTGTCTTCACTTTCAGGGCCCTTCCCGGCCTATCCCCACCCTACCTATCAGCTCTCATTCGCTGTCAGGAAGTTGACTCCCACCTCCGACTGGTCCCTGATGCCAGTCTCCCTCACCCACTTGTTACATTGTCAAACAAGCACCTAAAATTGAAAGGCAGAAAATTTCAAACTGACAAGAGGCAATACTTTTTCGTATATGTGTGCACAGTTAGCCTGTCAAACATGTTGCCGCAGGATATCATGAAGACCTAGAACTTAGTGAGACTCAAAAAAAAGGACACATTTATATGGATGACATTGTCCATGTTGACGGTGATCAGAATAAAAATTTATAAGGGGTATAAATCCTCATGCTCCAGAGGATAAATCAGCCACTAACTGTGTCACATTAGGAAGAAACTTCTCTGATGGAGAGATTATTCCATAACTCTATTATGAAGGTTTTTGCACTTTCATTTAAAGCATCTGATATTATGCTTTGATCCAGTATGGTTAGTCCAATGTTCCTATATATGGTGATCCCTGTGCTTATAAGACACCACCTGTCCTGTTGTAGATAGGGAATGATAAGAGTAGTGAAAGTAGCGCATTTTACAAGCTGAGATCTTTCCTTAGATATGACTCTGAACATGCCCAGAAGGACTAAATTAATCATCGCCAATCAATTCCTGAGTCTAATCCAAGCCTGGCAAACCTGCGAAGAAGAGATTTAGGACTTGACAGGGAATGGGACAAAGTTTATTTTCTGTTTGATGTTCTAGACTCTGACTTCAAACATTAGACCTCGTTTAGGCCGGATTTGATCATTCAGAACATCCATCATTGAATAATGAACCATATGACCTTTCTGACATTTATAGATAAAAAACATTCAAGCTCTTCTTGAGAAATGGTTTGCGAACTGAAACCTGCCCTGGAGTTAGATATGTAATGGGATATGCAAAAACATGCATAATCTAGGGTTGAGAGATTGGTTAATTTGTCAAGCAAAGAATTAACCAAGCATAGCATTAATCCTATTCCCAGGAAAATGTGCTCACAATAGTGCCTCAGGTGTTGCTCAGAGGTCATTGGCATCTTCCCAATCATTCCAGTTCCCTGATTGTAATCCTATTTTAATACATGGTGCAGTGTAATTTGCAACAACACTTGCATCATGAGTGCAACCAACTCTATTCTCTCCATTTGCTGAATGTCAGTGTTGAGAAGTAAAGCACCTGAGTAATGCCGCAAATATATTTAGCATAACATCCCCCTTCCACCAAACCTTCTCTTATTTTTCCCCTCTATTTGTTAAACCATTACAGTGGGTCATTGTTGCCCCAGGAAGATTCAGAACTCATGCAGCCTGGTTTCCACTGTGAGCTGTATAGATAGCCAATATACCTTTAATATATTGTTAATAATTATAGATGCTGTTGGCCCTTAAAGCAGGAAAGCTGTTGCTCTATTCCCATCAAGGATACAAAACAAGATTACAGGTTGTACCTCTGTTTGCTCAGAATAGCAATCCACATCTTGAACCATGAGACGCAATGTCTGGGGAATACTATGTGGAAGCTCCATTTCTCCAGGAATTGGAAGGGAGAAGTTTAAACAAAGCCCTCAAGCTATTGTTAACTACACAACTTAATATAGGGATAGAATTTCCTCTTTCTCTCTGTCTGGCTAGAGGGAACCCCTCTAGGGGTTGGTGGACAAGAGTGGTTTAAACCTGCTGCCTGTTAATTTAACTGGGTGACCCCTGCTTCTTGTGTTATGTGAAGGAGGAAATAACACTTCCCTCTTCCCTTTTGCTAC